AAGATTGCTGTACACCAGCGGAACCCATCCAACTTGAAGGAGCTGGAGCAGTTTTGCCTTGAAGAATGGGCAAAAATCCCAGTGGCTAGATGTGCCAAGCTTATAGATACATACCTCAAGAGACTTGCAGCTGTAATTGCTGCAAAAAGTGAATAGTTATGCACACTCAAGTTTTTAGTTTTTTTGTCTTATTTCTTGTTTGTTTCACAGTAGAAAATATTTTGCATTTTCAAAGTGGTGGGCATGTTGTGTAAATCAAACCCCCCAAAAAATCAATTTTAATTCCAGGTTGAAAGGCAACAAAATAGGAAAAATGTCAAGGGGGGTGAATACTTTCGCAAGCCACTGTATCAAGAAGCTGATTAAACAGCATGATCATTACACAGGTGCGCCTTGTGCTGGGGACAATAAAAGGCCACTTTAAAATGTGCAGTTTTGTCACACAACACAATGCCATAGATGTCTCAAGTTTTCAGGAAACATGCAATTGGCATGCTGACTACAGTAATGTCCACCAGAGCTGTTGCCAGATAATTTAATGTTCATTTCTCTACCATAAGCTGCCTCCAACGTCGTTTTAGAGAATTTGGCAGTATGTCCAACCGGCCTCACAACCGCAGGCCACATGTAACCACGCCAGCCCAGGACCTTCACATCCAGCTTCTTCACCTGCAGCATCGTCTGAGACCAGCCACCCTGATGAAACTGAGGAGTATTTCTGTCTGTAAGAAAGCACTTTTGTGAAGAAGAACTCATTCTGATTGGCTGGCTTGGCTCCTCAATGGGTGTGCCTAGCTCCCCAGTGGGTGGGCCCATGCCTTCCCAGGCCCACCCATGGCTGCGCCCCTGCCCAGTCATGTGAAACCCTTAGATTAGGGCCCTAATTAATATGAACTGTAACTCAGTAAAATCGTTGAAATTGTTGCATATTGCGTTTATATTTTTGTTCAGTATATTCTCTGTGAAGGAAAACTATAGTTGCACGTCCCTGATCACTCTATTGAAGCAAAAATATATAGTAGACTTTCAATATAAAACACGATCCCTGTCAATACACAGTTGGACACACCTGCTCCCGCTTTCTCCCGTTGTGGTATTTACAAACAAACACGAGACTGGCTCAACTGTTCTGGGGAACTACGGTAAGCTTCATAATGTAAAATAACGTAACAGGTGAAATGAAGAACGCAATCTGCTTTATCTCCTAACGTATTGCACAAGTTTACTGCAGGTATTTCCTTAAAAAGTAGCTACAAATATTACAATTTATTGAAAAACTTCAAAGAAATAGTTTCAACGGTATTGACAGTATTTTAAAACCAACCCAGGGCTATTTCTAAATACCCCGGTATATACGGTATACCGCCCAAGCCTACTACTAATAGTATGAAGGCTAAAGGATTAACCCATTAAGTGCTCATTCACACAGCCCTCTGAAGTGGAGGTCTTAAGTTACAGTGTTAGCTACTAATCCAAATACACAGACTAATGGTAGAGTAGTAAGAAAGGACTTGGGCCAATAGAAGAGTAAGTAAGGCTTGTCTGCAATTGCATGAACAGACATAATGCATTGCCATCGACCTGTCATCTCACGCCATCAGTTTTAAACTTCCTTTCTTCTTTTGCTTAGATCCCTCTCTCTGATTGGTGTGAGGATATGTCAGTACTGCTGCTGAGGACTACAGTCTCTGTCCTCTTATTGGCTGGTGTCTGATATTGTCTGTTGGTGACCTAGCTCTAGACAGTGCCTGGCTCCAGCTCTGTGTGTGTGTCTTCTGTGCTGGTGGTGAGTCTGACAGGCTCACCCACGTTGAAGGTCACCCCCTCCTCCCTGGTCCATGTTTGTGGGGCGCTCTCTCTCCCATCCACTCGGATCACATCACATCACCACTGTCTGCTGCCCTGTCAGCAACAGCCTCATCCTACAGTACTACTGTGCTCCCGAACCTTTCAGTCTCACTGTGTGAGCCCTAAGCAAAGCCATTAATATAGATGTAGAGATGTGCCTCTGGCTTTCCAGCAGGAAGCATCATATGATATCTGGAGAATGATCTCTCTCAGACCCACTATTATCCTTGGAATGTATACGTTTCCTCTTTAATCTTCAGTGATAAGTCTTGGCTGAGAGGAGGGTCTATGAACAGATTTAGCTGTATGTTAGGGTATATTTAGATATAATTTAGTATCAATGTATTAATACTACACTGTAAGCACATACACAGTTTGGTCGGAAAATCAAACAGCAGTTGGGGTGTATTGACTTGAAAAAGGTGACAACTGTAATCTCTCTGGATAAGTACTTTAATAGGAGTCAAGAGAAAACAAAAGCATGACTGAAATGACCCATACAGTATCTCCAAATAGATATTTGATCTTAGTGTAAGTAAGTGTACAGTGTGTCTCTGATTGGCCCCTGTCCTCCACATAGTTAGTGAGATGTAATTGGCTGGCTGGTCGGTGTAAGCTGTGGTGTCTGCGGGGCTGAGGGGTGACAGGAGTTGACAGATAAGGGTCAGTGGCCCCACCTTACCTTGGCTATCGTGACACAGGTCCTTATATGAGCCCAATCAGGATTAACCTGGTCTACAGGCATCTTGTCATTCTCTCTGCTGTCTCGAACCTGATCTGCTTCGACTCCCATCAACACTATCTCTCTCTTTCTGTTTATCGTTCTCTCTTTCTATCTCTCTCTCTCTTTCTCTCTCTGTAAGACATCTTTAGCAAAACAGGATGGAGGACAGGACAACCCAGCGGGCAAAACTGGTTGTAGTGACATCATAATGACTGTCCCACCTGCCTTTGGGTTAGTGCTATCCGGCACCCTTGAGACATCCCTACCCTAAAACCTAACCCTAACCTTAAACCCTACCCTAACCCTAACCTTAACGCTTACCCTAACTCAAACCCTTACTTAACCCTAACCCTTACCTTAACCATTTTAAATTTCAACTTCAAAGGGGTAGGGACGTCCCAAGGATCCCAGATATATTTTTTTTAAATAAAATATTTGTAACCTTTATTTAACTAGGCAAGTCAGTTAAGAACAAATTATTATTTACGATGACGGCCTACCCCGGCCAAACCCTCCCCTAACCCGGACGACGCTGGGCCAATTGTGCGCCGCCCTATGGGACTCCCGAACATAGCCGGTTGTGATACAGCCCGGGATTGAACCTGGCGATGCAGTGCCTTAGACCGCTGCGCCTCTTAGTCCCCAGATAGCAAGGACCCTGCCTTTGTCTCCAGGTCCTCCTTCACCGCTGGTTCCTGTCCCTTTCCCTCTCCTAATGCACCTGTCCCTCTACTACTGTCCCTGTCCCACCTGGACCTACCTTGGCCATGTGTGTCACAGTAACAGTGCTGTCAGATCAGACAGGCATCTTCATAATCAGGAACTCTGCAGTCAATTAGCTCTACGCTTGTGTCAGCACAAACCCACACACAGTGGCGGTCACACTGGATGACATGACACCTCCTCTAGTCTAAAGCACACTGGTGTGTTGGGCGGGCTGCCTATAGCAGTTTACAGCAGTGGCTGCACTCATGTCTGAGCATAAACATAAACATGAAGTTGTATTAGGTGATGATGTAGTGCTTTTCAATGGTAGATGGGTATACTGAGACAGACTTACTTCCCTGGTGGTAATGGTAGTGCCGTATGACCTGTCGGAGGAAGAGATCTCTGGAAAGGAAAGGCGGACTATCTGGGCCTTCCTGTGGTTCAGAGTATTTTATTTCCATTACTGCAGCAACCCAGTAATATGTTTAATATGTTTTCTATTCAGCCCACATTCACACACCACATCTGGTTTCCAAAAGGCTTCTCGCTGGCTATGAGTTCCAATGTTTTTCTCTGAAATTGATTCCTTCACAAAATAACTGTGTCTTATCATGTCCAGGATCACTAATTGTATTGATGATCTGATTTCATACATGGGCATGTTTGGATGCCCTCAGGTCATTCTAAAGTAATGGACTAGATAGATAAATAAATACATTGAATTGTACTAATGTTGACCATCACTGCATAAAGTGGTATATGTATATCTTAGTTTCTATAGACCATTATCTTTTCACTAAATGTTTCTCAGTCTTCTAAGCAGTTATACTGTATCACTCCTTTCTTCTGTCTGTTGGATTCTCATCACTCTAATGACCTCTGCCTCGTCCTGACCCTAAACAAAAGCATGGAGGTTGGGTGTGGGGGATGGACAGAGAGAGACTGATATGAACCATAGTCAAACTGGGGCCCATCTATGGCCTCCCTCATGTGTCCTGCTTAGCCCCATCGGCCCCCCTCTCCTCTCCTCCCGCATTGCATTGATTTCATTACCAGTGCAGCTGGGGAGCCCAGCCAGCCTTGATGGGCTGTTGTCATCAGAGGGATTGACACATGGACCCCCCAGAGACCACCAAAGAACTCATTTACATCCCCTCTCCATCAGCACCACCTAGAGATGTGGTGGGGGGCTGGGTGGGGGGCAGGTTGGGGGGCAGGCAGACCCCATCACGCTTCCCATCTGACACATGATTGACAGCCCGAGAGGCATCCTTAAAATGTCACCATTATAGCTACATCCCTGCTAAATGCCACACAGCAATTGTAAGATTGAAGATAATAAATAAATACAATATTTTTTTAAGCTCACAATATTGACAGTTAAAGAGACACTGGAAGACTGGGTGAGTTAATTAGAGGCCTACAATGAAAAAGCAATAAGAATGGGATTATATATGGTAATTTCATCACTAGGGTTTGACCCTAGGATATGTGCCACTCCTGCCCCCTGTCTATGGCCTGGACCCGTGGGACATGGAGGTGGTACAGCTGGCAGACGCCATGCCGACCAGACACTCCTCCACTTTTAGCAGCATTTCCAGTAGAGAAGACAAGCATCATGGCAGCTGCTGGGGTGGGGTGCTCCAGAATTAGCATCAGCTCATAGTTTAGAAGTGTGTCACCAAGAAGGTTGTGATGTATCCTGGGTATTACCCTCCAGGTTCTGAACCTCTGGGGCATGGCGTGGCCCCCTGGACCCCTGTCACCAGGGAGACCAGAGAGGAAGACTCTGTGTTTTGAATGTGAGGCGGGGGAGGGCCTAATAAACCTGCTAGTTCCAGTAACATAGTTTTTCTATTGGAGGGTCATCAGTGAAAGGGGGTGTGGCCACAGACATCTGTCCAGTAAGTAGATTCTGATGTAAACAGCTGCAGTGAAGGGGATCAAACCCCTTAGAGGAGTGGGCTAAACTGAGCTCTGTGATACACAATTATTAGTCATTATGAAAGACTCAGTAGCGTTAGACTGTGTGTGTGTGTGTGTGTGATTGTGACATGTATGGCTCTAATAGCTGTTGGACTACATTGAAGGCTGAAGGAGGTCTGCCTCATTAGATGTAATCTTAGATAAATTCACCTCTGTCTCCTTATACTAAAAATTTAAGTTCCTCCTAATAATAGGTCTTTATCTAAAGTAGGATGTTACAGTCTTATTATATCCCATGTCTTAGTCCTTTGCTAGCCACAGATTTTATCATCAGCAACCGTCTCCAATTTAAGCAGTATTAAACACAGGATTTTAGATAATAGCCCCACAGCTATTAACTAATCTCATACTTCGCACAATTATATGCAACTTTTTATCATGGTTGAATGCAAGTATATTATCTTTTTTAATTAACACACAGTCAGCATTTTAAAGCAGTTTAGCGAACTTGAGAATGTTAATGAAGAATGAGACCCTCTTTTTGGGGCACACATTGCTGCTGAATTTCTTTGCTCTATCTGTGTGTTTCTGTTACTGTAATGCTGTTACTGACATGATTTGACCTGGGGGAAAATGCAGAGTCAAGGAGGCAGTAGTGCTGAGATGTCGCACTGGTCACTGTCTAAGATGAGTGTATTTTATATCTGATATGTCATGTTAAGATCCCACTGAGTTGTATGTATGCATTGTTGCAGAGCTGCATTCTCTCATGGTCCCGTGTTTCTCTGCTCCACCAGGTCACCTGTCTTCAGGATTTCTTTGGTGATGATGACGTCTTCATCGCTTGTGGCCCAGAGAAGTTCCGCTACGCCCAGGATGACTTCTCCCTGGATGAAAATGGTGAGAGCAACCACATCACTAGTAACCTACTACACCACTGTAACATCACTAGTAACCTACTACACAACTGTAACACCACTAGTAACCTACTACACCACTGTAACACCACTAGTAACCTACTACACCACTGTAACACCACTAGTAACCTACTACACCACTGTAACATCACTAGTAACCTACTACACCACTGTAACATCACTAGTAACCTACTACACCACTGTAACACCACTAGTAACCTACTACACCACTGTAACACCACTAGTAACCTACTACACCTCTGTAACACCACTAGTAACCTTCTACACCACTGTAACATCACTAGTAACCTACTACACCACTGTAACATCACTAGTAACCTACTACACCACTGTAACACCACTAGTAACCTACTACACCACTGTAACATCACTAGTAACCTACTACACCACTGTAACATCACGAGTAACCTACTACACCTCTGTAACACCACTAGTAACCTTCTACACCACTGTAACATCGCTTTTTGTGAAATTAGCTCTTTCTGGCAATGTGATTGTGCTACTATACACCGAGTGTACAAAACATTAAGAACACCTGCTCTTTCCATGACATAGACTGACCAGGGGAATCCAGGTGAAAGCTATGATCTCTTATTAATATCATGTGTTAAATCCACTTCAATCAGTGTAGATGAAGGGGAGGAGACAGGTTAAAGAAGGATTTTTTAAGTGGAACTGATAGCGTTTTAACTACTTTGCATATATGAAACAAACAGACAATCATAATATCAGTCAAACATATCAAATTCCCAGTTTATGCTACAAAACTAGCTTTATAAGAGGTTTTAAAAATACTGTAGGTTCTATTTGACTCAACATTCCATGACGTACACAAAGACATTGTTGGCAGATTAGATGGATGCAGTTCAATGCATGATTAATATAATTCACCAATACATTTCTTAGTAGTCCAATAAAATATTGTTATCAGGTTGTAAATCATAGCTGGCCTGGTACAATGTTTGCTACCTCAGTTCGAGATGCACTGTTTCAGTTTCAATGACTCAATATTTTGGAGAAAAACGGACGAAAGTAACTAAAGCTGGGAATGTCAATACAATCAAATTAGCAAGGGCAATGATCACAAGTCAATCATAACGTGGCTAATAGGCTAGCGTATCTATTTATGTAGCAAGCTAAAAACATGGAGCCTAACGTGAGCTAGATAGCTAGCTAGCTGCTAGGAGGATGTCATGTCATGTCATTGGAGGAGTGGGTGAGTGACTGACTTTTTCCCCTCATTGTTTTTCGATGGCTATACACAGCTAGAGATGCAGGTGTCATTTGGTTAGTTAGCAAGAACTTGAACGACTGTTATCCAGTTAGCATATCTCTTGGGTTCGCAAATTCACTCTGGATATCTACTCCGATTTCAGAGCACTCTCGTCTGAGTGTGCCAATGCACAGATTAACTGATTAAGTTATGCAACACCCGCTGAATATGGCCGGTGTCAGTAAACTTATGCAAAACAATAGTTAGTCACGCTCTAGATAACATGTAAACAGCTTAGCTAACCAGCTCTGCTAGGGCGAGTAAAATGGTCAGAGTGAGGTGTTCTCTCATTTGTGTCTGGAAGTAGCTAGCTAGCAAGCTAGCCAACTTTAGCCAGGCAGGCAAGCTGCAGAAGGACGTGTAGGCTACAATTCCCCATCGTTTATTAGTACAATTTTGACGGCCAACTACCTGAAAAAGCTAATCTTGCTCAGGCTATCATTAGTTCTTGATCTTGTTGTTGTTGATACATAACTGAGGGAGAGAGAGCCTACCTTTTCATGTTTTTTTTTTTATCAATATGACTGTAAAGTTACAAAATGTAAGAAGGCCTACTGTAGCTCTGATTTGCTATGGTACACTGTTCTGCGTAGACTTCGGTCCTGGACTAGACAGATGTTTTTATTAGGTTTTATTTCTTGCAGTGTCCAAACGCATGGCCACTTTCCCACACTATACTGCTATAGAATTTTCACAAATGGCTTGGTATACGTAATTCCCAAACAATCTAAGAATTTATTTAAACGTGAAAATGACCATATCTAACTGATCGCTTGTAAGAAAATGTTTTTAAAAGTGTAATATTCTTCCTGGGGGTGTTTATGAACAGATTTTAATGAGATTTAATGTTGCTAAAATGCTGTCAGTTCTACTTTAAGCCTTGAGACAATTGAGACATGGATTGTGTATGTGTGCCATTCAGAGGGTAAATGGGCAAGACAAAATATTTAAGTCCCTTTGAACAGGGTATGGTAGTAGGTGCGAGGCTCACCGGTTTGTGTCAAGAACTACAATGCTGCTGGGTTTTTCACGCTCAACAGTTTCCTGTGTGTATCAAGAATGGTCCACCACCCAAAGGACATCCAGCCAACTTGACACAACTGTGGGAAGCATTGGAGTCAACATTGGCCAGCATCCCCGTGGAAGGCTTTCGACACCTTGTAGAGTCAATGCCACAACGAATTGAGGCTTTTCTGACGGCAAAAGGGGGTGCAACTCAATATTAGGAAGGTGTTCCTAATGTTTTGTATACTCAGTGTATGCTCACTACTGTATATTTAATTCTCTCTCACACCCACAAGTGCAGACAGGAACTCACAGGTCTGATTTCTGATTTAGAAAGTAAAGAATCTATCTGAAATAGAAAGTTAAATAAATATCTGCACCATAGTAAACCCAGATTTTGGCTAGAGTTAACATAGCAGCTCAGTCCACATGTAGGCTAGCTAGCTGTTCAATGGAATGACTGGTAAATACATCACATAGCACATTGTCACGATCGTCGTAATAAGTGGACCAAGGCGCAGCGTGATATGCGTACATCTTTTAATTAGTACTTTATAACATGAACAAAACGATACGTGAAGTCCTAAGGTTAACAAAACACAAACCTCTCCGGAACAAGATCCCACAAATAACAAGTGCAAAACAGACTGCCTAAGTATGGTTCCCAAGATGACAACAAGCCACATCTGCCTCTGATTGGGAACCACCCCGGCCAACATAGAAATACATGATCTAGAACCTGACAAAGAAAATTCAACATAGACAATCCACACCCTGGCTCAACCTATAAGAGTCCCCAGAGCCAGGGCGTGACACACATCTCCTTTTGTCTCTTTTTGCCCAACGCTTAGGTCTTTCACATCAGTACTGAACTAGAGCTCATTATTTAGATGGAGTTTATGTAAATAAGGCTTTAGCCATGTTAATGAGCGATAAGTAGTCTCTAGGGTGCCTCAAATGCCAAACAGGATCAGGCACCACCAGGACCATATGGGAAGGACTCTAGAATGGCCATTTTATGTTTTCATCACATTTCAAAAGACGGACCTACATAGAGGACAGGTATTTCCAGGCTACACTAGAACAGATGACTCTTACATACCAGAGTAAATGTATCATTCTTCTCAGTGAATGTGTGGCTTTGTGTATCTATGTGTGTGTGGGTAGTGTATGTTAATGTATAGGCCTGCTGTGTGTGTTGTGTGCAGTAAGCAGCAGGGAGGCATAAGCATGGGTAGAGGAACAGCCATTAATCTTGGTGGTCACAGGTTTAGGTCAGATGATCCAGTGGTGCTGATACTGACTCTGAATGGAGGAGAGGAGTAGAGCACCACTGCGAAGCTTCCCTGGCTACTCCCTACAGGCTTCAAAGCCTATTTTTGCATAAAGTAGCTACACAGGCTCCCTCTTCCATACCTCCACACATCTCTCAATAGCAGAGAGCTCAGAAATACAGTGCCTTGCAAAAGTATTCATCCCCCTTGGTGTTTTTTCTATTTTGTTGCATTACAGCCTGTAATTTAAATGGGTTTTTATTTGGATTTCATGTAATGGACATAAACAAAATAGTCCAAATTGGTGAAGTGGAATGAAAAAAATAACTTTTGAACAAATAAATAACGGAAAAGTGGTGCGTGCATATGTATTCACCCCCTTTGCTATGAAGCCCCTAAATAAGATCTGGTGCAACCAATTACCTTCAGATGTCACATAATTAGTGAAATAAAGTTCACCGGTGTGCAATCTAAGCGTCACATGATATGTCACATGATCTCAGTATATATACACCTGTTCTGAAAGGCCCCAGAGTCTGCAACACCACTAAGCAAGGGGCACCATGAAGACCAAGGAGCTCTCCAAACAGGTCAGGGACAAAGTTGTGGAGAAGTACAGATCAGGGTTGGGTTATAAAAAAAATATCAGAAACTTTGAACATCCCACGGAGCACCATTAAATCCATTATAAAAAAATTGAAAGAATATGGCACCACAACAAACTTGCCAAGAGAGGGCCGCCCACCAAAAGTCACGGACCAGGCAAGGAGGGCATTAATCAGAGAGGCAACAAAGACACCAAAGATGACCCTGAAGGAGCTGGAAAGCTCCACAGCGGAGATTGGAGTATCTGTCCATAGGACCACTTTAAGTTGTACACTCCACAGAGCTGGACTTTACGGAAGAGTGGCCAGAAAAAAGCTATTGCTTGAAGAAAAAAACCAAGCAAACACGTTTGGTGTTTGCCAAAAGGCATGTGGGAGACTCCCCAAACATATGGAAGAAGGTACTCTGGTCAGATGAGACTAGAATTGAGCTTTTTGGCCATCAAGGAAAACGTTATGTCTGGCGCAAACCCAATACCTCTCATCACCCCGAGAACACCATCCCCACTGTGAAGCATGGTGGTGGCAGCATCATGCTGTGGGGATGTTTTTAATCGGCAGGGACTGGGAAACTGGTCAGAATTGAAGGAATGATGGATGGCGCTAAATACAGGGAAAGTCTTGAGGGAAACCTGTTTCAGTCTTCCAGAGATTTGAGACTGGGACGGAGGTTCACCTTCCAGCAGGACAATGAACCTAAGCATACTGCTAAAGCAACACTCGAGTGGTTTATTGGGAAACATTTAAATGTCTTGGAATGGCCTAGTCAAAGCCCTCAATCCAATTGAGAATCTGGTGGTATTACTTAAAGATTGCTGTACACCAGTGGAACCCATCCAACTTGAAGGAGCTGGAGCAGTTTTGCCTTGAAGAAAGGGCAAAAATCCCAGTGGCTAGATGTGCCAAGCTTATAGAGACATATCCCAAGAGACTTGCAGCTGTAATTGCTGCAAAAGGTGGCTCTACAAAGTATTGACTTTGGGGGGGGTGAATAGTTATGCACGCTCAAGTTTTCTGTTTTTTTTGTCTTGTTTCTTGTTTGTTTCACAATACAAAATGTTTTGCATCTTCAAAGTGGTAGGCATGTTGTGTAAATCAAATAATACAAACCCCCCCAAAAATCCAGTTTAATTCCAGGTTGAAAGGCAACAAAATAGGAGAAATGCCAAGGGGGGTGAATACTTTCGCAAGCCACTGTAAGGGGAACTTATAATATACACAACTACTGTACAGCATCAGTGTAGGTGTGATGTGTTTAGACAGGGTCCATTTCCTGACCCGCTGCCTGCCCTCTCACTGGGTCCTTGTGTGAAGGAGTTGACCCGTGTGCTTTAATGTTGTGGTTCCTTTCTTTCAGCACACTACCCCTCTGGAACCAAACCCAAATCAGCCCAGGGGGCCTATAATAACCAAGGTCAGTGGGGTCATGCCAACATAACACTGACATCATATCATGTCTGCTGGAGACCACCCACGGCCTGGGTGGGGCCAGGGGCAGGGGAAGGAGTGGGCCCTGTCTCTACACACAACACTGACTGCACTGGTCGAAGCTGATACAGCGTTTTCACATAGATAGTCCAATCATTACCATACACAGACATATTTGGTATAGATTTGGATCCTGTTGCTTTATCAGATTTGCACATCAAAGTTCAGCCAGATTTGATGGGCCATTGCAGGAGACAGAGGGGAGTGTATGTAGCTCAGTATTTAATAAGCATCACTAAAAGCCGAATTGGATCCAATTCAAATAGTCATGGCAAATGTGGACTTAACTCAATGCCCTTTAGTTAAGGCCTGAATACATTATACATAAGCCTTGAGCAAACATCATAAACATGTTGCCAAACACAGTATGTTGTTGAACTAGTAACTGTTTTAGTTAGGGCATAACATGTCCATTTTCAGATTAAGCCAATCTTGCACTTCTGTCACCTTTGGGCGATGCCATTCCTCTCCTTGGGGGAGGGGGGCGGGGGGGTGCAGCAGAGCAGGTGTCTCCTAAACACTTAAGTCCATAGCCTAAACCACTCTGCCAGAAAGAGAGAGTGGGTGAGAGGGGTGTTAGAGGGGAGGTGAGTGTCTGATGTGTTCTTTGAATGTGAATGATTTTTGAATGCCCGGTGGCATTTCACACTAGCGCTGGCACCCAGGCATCTGGCTGTGTGTGTGACTCCTGATGGTGCGTAAAGGTTAGGAAAAGGGAGACAGCCAGACAGACACAGTGTGATCAGCTCTCAGCAGACAGGAAGGACAGACAGACAGTGGGATTAGCATTTACAGAGAGAGGAGGGTGGAAGAATAGAAAGGTTGTGCATTACTGAGAGCACAGAGGTGGAAGAACAGACATTCTGAGGGAGGAGAGAGGATGGTGGAGGCATAGAAAGGCTGTGTGGTACTCAGAGGAAGGCGGAGGCACTGTGTGGTACTGAGATCAGAGAGAGGAGGGGGAGTGGAGAGGAAGGGGAAGAAAGGGGAGGGAGGGAGGGAGGGAGGGAGGATGTCTACGAGTCTTTGTGGCTGTCGGCTTCATGCTTCACTGTTTACCCTGATTAATGCAATAACCCAGAATAAACCGCATGGCATACACAACTACTGTACATACAGCAAACCTCAACGCTTTACATACACACAATAGACTGCATGCCATACAAAGCTAGCACCAAACTACAGTACAATATCACCAAACTACAGTACAATATCACCAAACTACAGTACAATATCACCAAACTACAGAACGTAGAATTGCTACACACACAGAAGTCACATAGACTGAAGCTCACTATGAAACTACTCTTTGTACAACAGACACTACCAAACTATCACCCAATCCCCCTTACTGAAAACATTGCAGCAACAATGGACTTCATGAAAGACACCTATGTGGCCATAAATGACCATTTACAGTGTCCAGGTTCTCATTAAGTCAGTCTGTTTGTATGAATGTCTGTTTCTTTGTCAATGCGGCCTTTCATGTGGAAGATACTACTGTAGTTTCTGTGGCCTTTGTTTTGTCTTATGCTCACACACTGTGTGTGTGTGTGTGTGTGTGTGTGTGTGTGTGTGTGTGTGTGTGTGTGTGTGTGTGTGTGTGTGTGTGTGTGTGTGTGTGTGTTTGTGTATTTCTCTCCACAGAAGGGTGCAGGATGATGAAGAAGAAAAGTCCAGGTCCGATCCGACGCAGCAAGTCTCCTGCTGAATCGAGTGAGCTCATTATTGTCTGATCTATAATGTGACTGTCCATGGTAGCCCACACCCGACATAGACTGGCTTCATCACATAGACTTTATTACAGAGTTACTACTACTACTCACTTCCTTACTATCAGCATCCATCCACCCTGATTCTAAATGCAGCTAGATTTAAACCAACTGATATGGATGCATGTGGTTATTATTGTTTTTACATGACATTAACATGATGTGAGTTTTTCTGTTGTTTTGATTTGGTTTCATTTCTTTTTTTTTCTTCTGTTGAAATATACTTTATGTCTGTAATCTGAATGTTGTTGTCCAGGATTTTATTGCTCAGACAGGGTATTTAAACCCTGGTGCTCATTGTCTGTCCTGTGAGTGAGACAGTGAGGCAGACAGTGTTTACTGGTGGGAACTGTCCTCTAATCTTAACGCAACACCTTTTGCACGCCGCGCCGCGCCGCGCCGCGCCATCCCAAACCCCCAAACCCCAAACCCCCACTAATACATAGAAATGGGGACACAAAAAATCCAGCCTTTGTTTGATCAGGATAATCTGAACAGATTACGAATTACAGAATGATACTAATCCAGATCTGCTGTCCTTAAGCATTGATCAAAATATGAAATATGAAAAGAAAACAAAGGTAGCAGAGGATTGTAAATATCTGTCTGTAGCATTTAGAGCAGTTATTATCCTTGACATACGCTGTCTGTGTCAAAGAGGGGGTCAACGAGATATACAGAGATTTCAAGAGAACACTCAGGAATGGGCAGCAGTTATAACCACTGATTATATAGGTCAGAGGGTTCACTACATGGGTCAAGGGATGATGGCATAAGAGACCGTTAATTAGGCACTTTATTCTCACACCTTAAACAGTTATTAAACATCAATTCTTCCAGCGACGTGTACACATAGGCTAAAACACACACACACACACACACACAGGTGCTATCCTAGCTGACGTGTCAGGCTGGGGTGTAGTATAGAATGCTTCTTGGTGTCCCCCTGTCACCCTGTGTCACTCCACAGTGAGGTGGCTGGCTGGTGGCGGGTGGATGTGAGGTCAGTGTGTCCTCCCAGCCAGACTCTGCTGCCCGACTCCCTCTCTCAGTGCTCTTTAATATTTCAGTGAGAGCTGGTGGGGGTCGGGGGAGGGCTTGCCCTTAAAAGCAGCAGATGGACGGCCAAGTGGCTAGTAGTCCTCCTAATGTGTCCAAGGTTAAACAGCCTCTTTACAGTCAAGAGGGTAGGGTGGCCGCCCGGGTGGGTGATGGTAGAGGGATCAGTAGGGGTGGGGAAACACTTAGGGTAGAGGTTACCAGTGTGGGCCTGTTATGTCTGGGCTGATGCAGCCATAACATGAGCAGGAGAATGTAAGACAAATGGCTCAAAAGATTTATGCACCCTGAGTTTAGACATTCATTATCTCCACAGAGGCCCCAATTTTACACCGCAGACAGACACATTATCAAAATAGTACGCTTTTAAATGACACCATCACATTGTTTTCTGTTTGGTTTTTCATTATTGTACATGTAAGACATCCAAAATATAGCCCTTTAACAATCATACAGTTTTGTATGGAGTACTGATACACTGATTACTAGCCTTCATAGTTTCATAAATGGAGGCAGAAATACTGTACGTTGCTGTTGTTAGGGCTTGGTCTGAAATGGTTCCTTGTATATTTCTGATATGTTTATTGGTCTGGGTAACTGATATGGTTTCAACCTGTCAAGCATCTCCTCTTATGTACCTACCCCAATATTAACCCCTCTAACTCCTTCCTCCAGTGGTGGTTTGGGTTTTACTATTTTATTAACGCATTTGTTTTGTTGTTTATGTTTGTTTAGTTGTATTGCAAATGTTTTGTTCTTTTGAAATAAAAGCCATGTTTTCAGTTATCAGTGGTGCATGTTTCTGTTTAACCCCTGCTTCAAAATATGATGTATATTTAAAGACTGGAATCAGACTAACAGTTGGCTGTATGTGACAGGAGAAGTTAAGCTCCTGGCCATTATACTGTCTTATAGCATATATAAATACACCCATAGACCAATCTTCTGAAATAGGCATTGACTAGAATAGATTAAGCATATCTTCATTGTCTTCCTCACCTAGTTCTGTAGGTACTGCTTTCATGTCATTCTCTACATGACACTGCTACATTTGAGGCCTTCCTTGGCTTTTTAGTTTAGTTTTTCTGGTTGAGTTAAATATACATTTTAGGTCTGGATGAAGTAATAATAAAGTAATATGCCATTTAGCAGACGCTTTTATCCAAAGCGACTTACAGTCATATGTGCATAATTTTTTTATTTTTTTAAAATTTTTTATTGTATGAAGATATGAACTTCATTGCATTAGAGTTGGCTTAGTCTGTAAAGCTCTTCCTCCACTGTACCTGTTTACAATTCAGACTGGCTGAGAGGCTAACCATCTGTTTCAAAGTCTTTCCTTAAGGATTCTGTTTTTCTCTTAAAGACAAAAGCCTTTTAAAAAGTCTTACTACACAAACTACGACACATCACACCACTCTCAGATGTAAACACTGTCTAGGCCAGGGGTATCCTAGCAACCTGCCACAGCTGTAGAGTAATGGCCAAACGTCCTCCAGCAGAGAACAAACAGGGACCCGGTCAGTCAGTCAGTCGCCCAGAGAGACTCTGTCTACAACCAAATGAGGGCAAGGGCCAGGAATGACCCTACTCTGGGGCCAAGGAGTCCTGGCATACACGCTGTCTAATTCATTGGTCTCTCTCTCTTTCTTTCTCCATTTACCTCTCATATTCTCTCTCTTTACACCTCCCTTTCTTTCTCACTCCATCTGGGTTCTCACAGCCAATGGGACGGGCTCCAGCAGCCAGCTCTCCACCCCAATTTCCAAGCAGTCCCCCACCTCCACCCCCAACAGCCCAGGCATCCACCGCAAGCAGAAGGTACCCCATCCTGTCCACTACCTAAATATCACTACCGATCCCTCCCTCTCTCTTTCCTCTCTCTCTCTCTCTCTCTCTCTCTCTCTCTCTCTCTCTCTCTCTCTCTCTCTCTCTCTCTCTCATACTGCACCTAAAGGCCCAATAGCTTAGCTCAGAACTCATTGAAGAGGATCTGTCCCCTAGCTCATTCAGATAATGATCCTCCATGTTTTTCTCTGTAGGATCTCTACCTGCCCCTATCTCTGGATGATGAGGATTCTCTTGGGGAGTCCATGTAGAGCCTCCTGTCTGTCAGCTGCTGCCTGCCTACCCGTCTCCCCCTGGCCTGCCACTCGGAGGTATCTCTGGTGCTCTCCACCTTCACTAACGGCCAGCGCCCTCTAGTGTACTGTCCGGGAGGACTTCTCCATTTGATCTCTCCCTGGTGCCACATGTTATGTCTATCTGGCCTTGGCCACCACGGCTGTTCCACCTTTTGCTGCTTGAGAATTCACCACTAGATCTTGTTTTTTATATCCTATGTTGTTAAGAATGTATATGCTGGGCGTATACGACAATGATATACGAATTACCGCATCTAACAAATTCGCCAAATCATTTTATTGTGTGAAAGTCCAATGTTTCTTGTTATGCTCTCAGAAGGGGAGAGACATAATTTACTAACAAGCAATTTCAAAAAGGCAGTTCCCACAATGTAACTACAAAAGTGTATTTTTTTCCAGTTGAAAACCATTCATTCTGATATAGGGCAAATCACACATTTCTAAGATTTTTCCAAATTCAAGTGCACAATTCCAAGCAGCAAATGGACTATTTCTCTGGGGTGTAGTAGTCAGTAGTCAAGTTTTGCTCATAATGTCCCTCTGTGTCCTCTCTCTTTCTGTGCTATGGTTCAAGCTGTTAAAAGTAATGAGAACATTTTTAGGGGAAGGCTCTTTAGCCATGAGAGGTGAATGTCCTCCTTTCATCTACTGTAAATACTGTGTATAGCCATTGCAACATCCCAGCTAATACCTAACATTCATAACTATGCTTTCATAAAACGTCAATACAACGTCTGCCAAACGTTGAATCAACATAACATGTTTTCTGTGTATTATCTATCTATGAGGTCTTCAAAAACTGCAAGGCACAGTGGAGCCAAGCAGCTCTGAAACCGTGGGCATATAAAGTAGGGGTACTGGGGGAAGTCCTATTAGTGTGTACAGACCAACCAAAGCCAGAAAAAATGTGGCCCTTTTTAAAACAAACAAGCACATCTTTTTTTAAATTAAATAACGGTTTAGGATTCTTAAATATATTTTAGTTATGATTACTTTAACTCCTTATTTTAACTGGTTCTAAGATGCAGACTTCAATGGAAATGTGATAAAGCCAGGTGTACTATATTGAGGGAAGTTTAGAATAAATTATCATTACAATAAAAAAATTCAAAGCCATAGTATATATTGTATCAAGCAACATGGAAATCTAAAATGTAGATAATCTGTAATTCCCCCAGTGGAGACATACCTGTCTGCTACATGTACTGTCTGTTTGTTACTGGGGCCTCCCATGAGGCCAATCTGACCAGACCATGTCCATGTAGGGTAAATAGATTTTCACCAGCACAAAAAACAATAAGTAGAGCTTCTCACATTTTGCATGGCTAAATCTTTTTTCGTAGTGCTTAATGATTGAATACAAAGTTTAGATAGGAGGAAATTGAATTTTTTGTTCCAAAAAAGTACCATAAAAAAATTATAATGTTAGAAGTAATATATATGTCTAAAACATTGTTCCTTTTCTTGAAGAATAACACATGAATGGTTATAGTAACGGCAAAATCTGATGAACACATCATTGTGTTATAGAAAGTGAATTAGTGCAGGCACAGGGACATTTTTCTGTGGCAGTCGTCCCAAAGAATAGTGTGAAATACTAGACCAAGTATTACGTATGTAAGGTGATCCAGTGTGAACCTCTCTCTGGATCTGACCCAAATGAGCAGCACAGCACACTCTCGACTACTTACACCCTCCACCTGCAGGGAGTGATGTCACTGTGATGTCAGCACTACAGCTGCAGGTCCACTTTTACATCTTCTGGGAATCAACACTTTGTAAAATAAAAGTCTTTTCTGGAGAATTCAGTTCTATTTTATCTCACCAGCTGTTCGATATCTTGTCTCTTTGCCCCAGATTTTCTACAGCTGAACATTAACAGTGTCAGTCAGTTGTTTTGTGTGAAGCTGCCGCCACCATATAACACAGGAGGTGTGGACCAAGCTCTCACCTCCAGTGGTGCCTTTTTTTTGATTGCCGTCTTTTGATAAAAAATTAATAAAAAAACAGGAAAACTAAGACATGTCCTCTTTGTTAACAAACTATCTGTAAAGCATTTTTAAATGTCTTGAATTGTAGAGCTGCCGCCAGCGCAGTGTGAGCTCTCATACATTGTTTTGTAGAATGCCAGGGTAACTTTATCATAGTGCAAATGTACTCTCTTTCTGTTCTCTATGAATGCATTTCTGATGGAATGACTTGGGTTACTGGGAAATGTACAATGTCCTCTTTAATGGTGTTTTTGCAATGTCACAGTGGCTTGTTTCAGTGCTTCATTCTATGTATTAACCAATTCCCTTTTGCAATTAAAGGAGTTGTATTCCACCTCCCGTTCTGGCTGTACTCCAATGATGGCTGTTTGCTCAATCTTAATAGAACAACACAATTTTACATTTCTGTCTCATTGTTTTAGTCACACCACTACCATACATACATACCAATCCATATTCATATCCATCAATCTTATCACGATGAAGTCGCATCACAGTCCATCTCCAAGCTGTTTTTGATCATTACTACTTAGTGAACAAGGCGTGGTCTGTGCTGCAATGAATTCTACTGTGTAATATTTGCAGCAGTTCCTCTTCACTGTATTCTGAAGACATACAACCTTGAGTGAATTTAGAAGGAATTTTAAATGATCATATCACCCTTTAAAAATAGCAAGGGAAACAACTATGATAAGTGACCATGGTAACACAAAACAGGCCCTATCCTATACCTATGTCCCTTGGTACAGATTTTGGGGTTGTATTTGATGGTGTCCATGTGAGTGTATTTTATTCTGTGTGTGTGCGCATGCATGTGTAAGTGCATGCATGTGTGTGTCTGCATGCGTGTGTACGCATGTGTGTTTATGGTAGGGGGAAGTCTGGATGAGACATCAAGAGGAACAAAAGAGCAGACACTGTGTGAAAAGCATGGTATTACTATTCTGTTCATGATCACCATTTTGGCCGTCTCCGTCACCATGGTAACTGGGAGTCTCTCTCAAAAGTAAACATTAATCTCCAATTTAAACAGGGTGTCTGGGAAATGAATTGCACTGTACACTACCGGGGACTGCTCCCCACATTTACACTGCTTTCAATGCAGCTGAGACAGTGGCACATTAGTAGACCTGCCGGAACTACTGCCAAGCACTGAACCACTGCTACTGCTGTTCTGTACTGTTTCCTCTGGTAAAACCTAACCAGACGTCTGGAAGACATTCTGTCTCACCAAAGACCACGTGTCCAAGACAGTCATAAAGACAGAATAGCATGTCAATTATTTTCAAGTAGTAAATGCATCTATAGACAGACAAAAGCTGTCTAAATCCATCATATAATTTACTACAGTATATCTTAAATGTTAGTGATGATTTACCAAGATTTAGGAGAATGCAAGTGCAACTAAGGGCTCTATTCAATCTGTATCGCTGAAGATCGCGTTACAGATTGTGCAATAGAAATGTTAAGGTAATTTCCGATTGAGCCGACATATGCGGAGTTTACCATGAATGCAGTCTCCGCTAACGCGGGAACATTGCCTTTAGCTTTCAATCACGCTGTAACGCTGAACTTCCGCCATTCGGATTGAATAGAGCACTAAAACTGCAGTAAGACAATTCTAAGAAAAATCATTTTTCAACACATGCACTTAACCACCTGTACGGGCTAAATACATCCACAAAACTGTGTACCTTATACAATTCAATACAGATGCATGTAATTCATCCACTTGGATATGACATACTACAGGTATAAACTCAGGCATTCTTTTAACTTGGTGCAAAAACCAATTGGTCCTCATAGACCCCAGCACACCTGCTGAGAGATGGTCAACACTAATGACTACCTTATGCAATCATACACACACTCTCAACATAAATACACACATGCTTGCACACACACACACACACACACACATACACTCATACACAGAAATACTGTACACTCCATATGACAAGGTTGATTGGAATTGGACAGGGCTTTTGGATAAATCTATAAATATTCTCTTATCATACTCAACATTCTACCACGGTGCTAGGAATCCCCTAATAGAGTCAATTCAAGAGACCATTCAAACCTTTATGCAATACTGTATGCAGGGGTGATTTTTTTCATGAATAACCAATACTATCATCAATGGGGTTGTAAAGAAATGTTCCTCACTACAATATTACTCAACAATAATAAACAGATTGATAAAATTGTTAATTTGTTAGATAATGTAGCTAAGTAACTAAACATTGTTTTCATGTATTATTTGGAACAACCCGAAGTCCAGTTTACCTTAGAAGGCTAGTCAAAAACAGAATAAACAGACATTAGTCATCCCCTATCAGACATGGATCATAAAGCTATTCATCTGTGGTCATTAGTTAAATAAAGGTTCAATAAAAATGTAAAAATTACTGAACATCATTACTGATCATAATGACTGATAAACACTGAAAATGTATAGCACATTAGTCAACAGTTGGCCCAATCTGCCTTCATATACATCATGTTTCAGTAAAAAACAAAACAATCATGATTGTCTGATCATCTCATTTGCTGGTTTAGCTGTCCATGTGTACGATTCTCAGTCATGCCCTCTTTTTTGCCTTTGTTTACATTAATATTTATTGCGAGATATTCATTTTACACATGGATATTTCTACTGTTATAGACTTTAGAAGGAAAAGAAACAAACGTTCTGTAGTTTAGAGGATTGTTTGCAAAATTATAGAATTAGACATGTGGCTTGCTGAGATGACGTATGTCCTTTTAATTTCTCATATGTGAGTTTTGTCTCCAAAAAATAACTTTTGTAAGTAAGATTGCATGCTTTAAATCCCATTAGTAGGCTACATTGTACCAATATTGGGGTAGATTGGGTTTTCTATGGTCCTTACACAACTGTACAATGTAAAGATCAAAACTGAGTGAAATTAGAATACCAAGCTATCATTTTTGTGAACATTGCTGTCATATAAAAAAGATCAACAACAAATAAATTTGATTACAAAGAAAACAGGATCTGCTTTGTTTGTGTCCCTGGTATGTTTCCCTGGTGAATGCTGTCACCCCCTTTATAACATTTGTTATTTCTGTTAACAAGTAGCCTACATGGAAATATAATACATCCACACTATAATACATCCACACAATGCATCACAATTTTCCTACTAGTCCAGGGCCTTACCCACTGGGCACAGACGTCAATTCAACGTGTATTCCACGTTGGTTTAACGTATGCTGAACAAAAATATAAACGCAACATGCAACAATTTCAAAGATGTTACTGGAACTGGAACACGCTGTCGTACACATAGATCCAGAGCATCCCAAACATGCTCAATGATGACATGTCTGGTGAGTATGCAGGCCATGGAAGAACTGGGACATTATCAGCTTCCAGGAATTGTGAACAGATCCTTGCGACATGGGACCGTGCATTATCATGCTGAAACATGAGGTGATGGCGGCGGATTAATGGCACGACAATGTCTCACGTCTTCCTCCGAAGCTGCCTCCCCTCCTTGTTTGGGCAGGCTTCGGCGTTCGTCGTCACCAGCCTACTAGCCACTGCCGCTCCATATCTCATCATTCCATTTGTCTTGTCTTGTCAATTACACACACCTGGTTCATATCCCCTCATTAGTCCATGTATAAGTGTTCCCTCTGCCCCCCTTGTCCTTGTGGGTGATTGTTATTTGTGAGTTGAGTGTAGCTCGGTTGAGCTACCCGTACCTTGTATTTCCGGGGATATTGTTCCCCTTGTGCCTGTATTTTGTTGACGCTATCCAGCGTAACTGTGTCCTACGGATTAAACTCTGTATTCGGTGATTTACCCTCCTGCGCCTGACTCCTTCAAATCACATTCTCACACAATGGGCCTCAGGATCTCGTCACGGTATCTCTGTGCATTCAAATTGCTATCGATAAAATGCAATTGTATTCGTCGACTGTAGCTTATGTCTGCCCATACCATAATCCCACCGCCACCATGTGGCACTCTGTTCACATCGTTGACATCAGCAAACTGCTCACCCACACGACGCCATACACGCTGTCTGCCATCTGCCCGGTACAGTTGAAACCGGGATTCATCCATGAAGAGCACAGTGGCCGCGAAGGTGAGCATTTGCCCATTGAAATTGGTTACAACGCCAAAATGCAGTCAGGTACAAACCCTGGTGAGGACAACAAGCACGCAGATGAGCTTCCCTGAGACAGTTTCTGACAGTTTGTGCAGAAATTATTCGGTTATGCAAACCCACAATTTCATCAGCAGTCTGGATGGCTGGTCTCAGACGATCCCGCAGGTGAAGAAGCCGGATGTGGAGGTCCTAGGCTGGCGTGGTTACACTTGGTCTGCGGTTGTGAGGCCGGTTGGACGTACTGCCAAATTCTCTAAAATGGCTTTGGAGGTGGTTTATGGTAAAGAAAATAACATTAAATAAAAAATCAGCATGCCAATTGCACGCTCCCTCAAAACTTGAGACATCTGTGGCATTGTGGTGCGTGACAGAACTACACATTTTAGAGTGGCCTTTTGTTGTCCCCAGCACAATGTGCACCTGTGTAATGGTAATTGGATTATCTTGGCAAAGGAGAAATGCTCACTAACAGGGATGTAAACAAATTTGTGCAAAATAATTGAGATAAATAAGCTTTTTGTGCATATGGAACATTTCTGGGATCTTTTATTTCTGCTCATGAAACATGGGACACTTTACATGTTGCGTTTATATTTTTGTTCAGTGTAATTTCATTGAAATGACGTGGAAATTGTGTGTGCCCATTTATTAGATTGTATTTGATTTATTCTCTCTCGTTTCATGATGGGTATGGACACATGTAGCCTACATCATGAAGGGGTTTTACTCACGTCCAAAGTGTGGCTAAAATAATGTAGGCCTTCCTACAATACATAGATAAAAAGGGAACGTCAGCTCACTGTTTTGCTCCTCTCAAACTTCATATTTTAATAAAGCTTTGGTGATTGAAGATTTATTTCCAAGCGGTCTCACGAGCAAAACACTTTATTGACGGTCTTGACTAGCCTACTTGATTAGCTACATTGGGCAGGACAAAAAGAAAACACTTAATTGAGAGGAGCGGAGGCTATACTTGGTTACTAATCAAATAAAACGAAATGGGGAAAATGCAATAGTGTTTTATGTTTCTAAATACAAAGTATACAGGCACCAAATCACATCTTGTTCCACGGGCATATGGGCAGTGTGCATCATGGCTTGATAGGCTACGTTTCCGCTGTCAAAATCCATGACATAACCTACTGCGTTACTGCTAAAACCAGCTTTATAAAGAATACAAAGAAGATAGTCTACAAGACTCAATGAGAGAGAAGCGAGGAAAAGGCATCTGAAAGAAAGTTGGGAAGACAACCAAGCGTCCATGTAAGTTCTCTGACATTCTCAGAAATCCTAATAACAAACAGGAGCTTTTCAAAATGTTGACACAGAAGGTGTGCCAATGAATTTGAAGATGTAAAATAGATATTTGCTACAATTGATGAGTCTGTGGTCACAAAGGGCTCTCTGACATCAATGGTGGAATGTGACCACGAAGAGGCAGATACAAGAGTATGCCTTCAATTTGAACAGTGGATATAGACATCATTGTCCTCCTTGCTTGGCTGTTCTTCCATCTTACCAAGGATTATCCAACCACAAAGCTGTGGGTTGCTTTTGGTATGGGTAATAACTAGCAGGAGATTTGCATCAACACCATCTACGAGAAGCTTGGAATGCACAAGAGGTTGGCTTTGTCAGGCTTCCACGCATTCACAGGTTGTGATACAACCTCACAGTTTCATGGAAAGGGCAAAAAGCTTGGAGTGCATGGAAGTCATTTCCAGAGGTGACTGATGCCTTCATTTTCCATGGCAGCAGATCAAGATGTTGGTTGTCTCCCCAACCCCTTGATCTGGATTGAAATGAGCACCTCTTCTAGGATGTTTTCATATAATCTGAGGAATGTTTGTATCAACTGTAATGATTTTATCTGTTGCATAATGTTTTTTTTATGTCAAATACCAGTTATTATTGCAGCCATTTCAAATGTTTGTGATAACTCGCTTCCGTGTTCAGTTTGAAATGGGCACCCCTTCTGGGATGTTTTAATATTACCTGAGGAATGTTTGTACCAAATTTCATGCTTGTATCCACTTCGTAACGTTTTTTTCCCGCTAAGGCCCTGGACTATTGTGAATAATCACGATTAACTCATACACAACAACACATGACTCGCAGGACACAGATCAAACAGAGAAAAACACAAATGAGTCCTCCCTAGCTTAGGCCATGTCCCTCTGATCTGATGGCCATGTGGTGTGAATGTGTGGCTCTAGTGCCCTCTGCTGTAGGACTGAAGCTCTGCCATGGACAGATCCCAGCATGAGCCATAGGCCTGATGTCATGG